CATGCATTTGTCTCCAGTAGGTTAGACTACTGCAATGGGCCTGCTCACAGGTCTCTCCAAACAGGCTGTAAAACCGCTGCATACATTCAAAATGCAGCAGCTCTATAGTCCTGACTAGAACCAGGAAGTATGATCACATTAGTCCTGACTAGAACCAGGAAGTACGACCACATTAGTCCGGTTCTCAGTCTCTGCACTGGCTTCCTGTGGCTCAGAGAATAGACTTTAAAACAGCTCTGCTTGTTTACAAGTCTCTCCATGGCCTCGCACCAAAATATATTACTGACATGTTAGTACCCAAATGAACCAGACCGGACTCTGAGGAGCACAGGGACTGGACTCCTGTTAGTGCCCAGAGTCAGAACTAAACATGGGGAGACTGCATTTTCAGATTCATGGCTGCTAAAATCTGGAACAATCTTCCTGAAGATGTGAGACAGGCCTCCTCTCTGACAATGTTTAAAACCAGTTAAAAACAGTTCGGTTTAGCTGTGCATACAACTGAGGGATTTTATATTGTTCCATCTTTCTTTTTAATGTTCTGTGATTATTTATAATTTTAATGCTTTCTCCTTTTGTTCAGCACTTTGAGATAGCCTGTGGGGTATGAATTGTGCTATAGCAAAAATAAACGCGGCCTTGCCTTGCCTTTGTACTGTAAGCTGATTATGGCCTTTTTCTTTCTTTCTTTTGTTGACCCCCTGTAGGGCAATCTGTCCTTTGCATTAGACCCAACCTTCAAAGCCACAGTTAGGAGAAGTGCTCTCTCTTTAGTACAGAGAGAGAGCACTCTCTAGTACAGAGAGAGAGCAGAGAGACCAGAGAGGGGGCCCAGGACGAGGAGACAGAGAGAGGGACCCAGAGATTATAGATCACGGATAGACCAGAGAGAGGGGACCCAGAGTGAGCGACCAAGAGAGGAGATCCGGGGCAGACCTCTCAAAGCTGCGGAGGCGTGTCGTCCCTTGGTTTCGCTGACGAAGTGGTGGAGAGCAGGGTCCACCAGGCTGAAGCGGAGCGTCTCTGGAGAACGTTGGAGCTCTCTGAAGGTTGAGGGGAAGAGAAGCGGGATGTCCCTAGCCGCTCTGCCCTCAGCCCAGTCCAGGCAGAACATTCTGGGGTCAGCAGGCTTTTCCCCGCGCCCGCCACCTTCAACCCGGGTCATCCACAGGTCCTGGTGCTGCTTGCGTGGGTCAAACCGCAGGGGGAGCGGAATGGCTTTTGGGGAGTCCTCAGAGTGGGGCTCGGTTGGCCGTGGAGGCTCGGTGTAAAGACGTCCCGTAGGGGGGAAGGACTCGGCCGGCTTTGTGCGATGCCCTCGTACACACGAAATACGCCACACCGGCGCTTCAGGCTGCTCTTAAGTATTGGCTCCCGGCAGACTTCGGGATAGATGGATCTCTGGGGAAGTCCAGGACAAGTACAACAGTGTAACTCATGTGATTTACATTTGCCCCATTTTCCACCGGCCCCTATTCTACTCGACCTCGACCGAGATTGCTAACTTCTTTATCGTCGCTAACCTCCGAGATTATACTCTTAATTCGTGGGTCTTTATTGATGCTAAGGTCGGAGATGTTTAAAAGGAAAGGCAGTTTTTTTATCCCCAAAACCCCCCCCAGACTAAAACTAGGAGATTTTTCAAGGGGCTTATTTACCTAGTGTAAAGTTTTGCAATGTTATAATCCCCGTAAAGCGATTTTATACTTCCGGGTGGATCCTCCAAGACTTTGGGTCCTCCATGTTCAGTCAGAGTCTGGGTGCTTACACGTGGGCCATCAAATAAGAACCCAGAAGAGTTTTGTTCAAAAAAGTGGAGAGAGCGGTCCTTTCTCAAATTGAAACCTCTAATTCACATGATTGCTCTTGATTCCTGTCTGTAGATTCACACGCCAGCTTTACGGTCGTGTACGCAGTTTTGTTGGGCCAGCGCCTCTAGGGCCCATGGCAGCGCAGGGAAGTACTGTGAGATCTTCAGCAGGCCTCACTGCTCCTCTGCTTCTGCTCGTCCCCGTCCTGCAGGTGCACGGGGGGCGCCCTCCTCCTGGACCGTCGCCGAGAACCTCTGCAGCGCGGCCCGCGCGAACGGTCCACCTGCTCTTTCCAAGCCGCTGGGAACACAGGACAAACGTCAGCATTGACATGTACTCTGGTGGGGATTTCAGATTTGTACTCGAGTAAAAGTACAGGTTACAGGGTGGGACTCGTGAGGTTTTTGGTCTACCTCAAATAGTTGTGCCTATGTCCTGCTCTGCGTTGTGGAGGAACAGGGCTCTTTTACTCGGTGGAAGAAAGACTTTAAGAATTACATGAACACTACAAATTCCCATCCTCAAGTCACTGCTTTTACCCCATTTCTGCTGCCTATGTCGCTAACTTTGTTGTGATTGCTGTGAGTTGAAGGGAAAGTCGTGACACTTAATTTGTTTAATTTGTTGCAATAAAAGAATCTATTTTAATAGTTGGTGGTTTTTCCCATAGCGGGTAGATTGGACTCTTGCCTCTTGGCTCTGTCGTTCCGACCATCAACAGCGCCGCCCCACAGCCGACTTCTTCATGTCAGTAATCCCAGGTCTGTAAGCCACCCTTCTTTCCGGTTTTATAGTCCTGGGTTTCACTATTTCTATTAGCCTTTTGGATCCTGCTTCGGGTTTTTGTTCCCAGCCCCTAATGAGAGTTGGGTTCCTCGCTTCCTCTGAGGAAGTCCAATTTACCAACTACGAATAAAACACCCGGCTTACAACAAATCCTTCTGGGAGATTTCCTCTGTTCCAAATCCGGAATTACCTCTGCAGTATGAAACGGTGGTCTCCCAAAATACAGCCTTCCCCTCTTACCTCGTTGGGACGTTTCCCAGCCGTCGCCAGTCTCTCAAAGGAATCTACTGAGCTATCTGGTGGCTGGATGGTGGAGTCCCAGATGGGCAAAGATCTGGGCTGGTCCTCTCTCCTTCTGGGTTCTAGGACAACAGATCCATACCTGCGCTTTCGTATTGTCCACTGCATCTCTCCCGCTGGACTTTTCAAACTGTTCACCAACCGTTTTGAATCGCTGTCAGACTTTGTCTTTGGCGTCGTCGCTTCGGATGAGTCTTCGAACCTTTCACCTCCTCTGGAATTAAGGCAAAGTAAATAGTATTGCATTTAATTCATCATTACTGATAAATACTTTTCGGTAAGGACCTTGGGGCCCACATAAACACTGAAAGACATAGCAACAGTAGTCCATGTTATTCCCTCAATAACCCTCATAAGTCGTTCAGTTTAAGTGTAATTTCAAGATAGAAATGTTAAGACTATCCTTCTGGGGACAGATCACCAGCATCAAGATATTTTGGATCCAGTTTTTCTTTCCAGGGAATGGATTTCATATGACATTGTTTTGTGACTTGGTTAATGATAGGGTCAAAGTCTGGTTTGCGTTTGTCAACCTGATTGTCATTCATGGTTTCCTCCCAAACAAAGCTTCTTACCTCTGTTGGGGACGTTCCATCCGTCTCCAGTCTCTCTAAGGAGTCCCTGGAGTGATGGCTCATGGTGGAGTCCCAGACGGGCAAAGATCTGGGCCGGTCCTCTTTCACCAACCGTTTGAAATCTGTCATTATGTCTTTGGAGTCGTTGCTTCGGTGAGTCTCAAACCTTTCGCCTCCTCTGAAATAAAGTAAAGTAAAACACAATTCATTTCATTCAATCTTATATTAACATTTCTGCAAGACCTTGGGACCACATAAACACTGATAGACATGGTTAGCAATAGTGTTCCATGTATTCCTTCAGTAACCCTCAGGAGTCATTTCATCAGGAGTTCATTTTAAGTGTAATCTAAAGTTAGAAATTTTCACCAGCTTCAAGATAATTTGATCCAGTTTTCTTTCCAGGGAATGGGTTACACATGACATTGTTTTGTAACTTGGTTGATGATAGGGTCAAAGTTTGGTTTGCGTTGGTCAGCCCTGATTGTCATCCATGGTTTCTCCAAAAGGCAGAGTAACTCGGTCCAAACAAGCCTCCTACCCCTCGCTCCATCCGTCCCAGTCTCTCTGAGGAGTTCTTGGAGCTCTGGTGGCTCATGGTGGAGTCCCAAACAGGCAAAGATCTGGGCCTCTCTTCTCTCTTTCTGGTCCTGCAACATACAGTAAGTCCAATCATGAGCTCATTTCACTGCGTTTCTTCTCTAGACTTATTATACCGTTTGAAATCTATCAATATGTCTTTGGAGTCGTTGCTTCCCTGAGTCTTAAACCTTTCACACCCCTGCTGAAATGAAACAAAGTAATCAGTATCACATTCAGTAGTAGAACTTTGCCCACCTACAACAGCCTCCCTCTTACCTCTGTTGGGACGTTCCAGCCGTCGCCAGTCTCTCAAAGGAATCCCTGGAGCTCTGGTGGCTGATGGTGGAGTCCCAGACGGGCAAAGATCTGGGCCGCTCCTCTCTCCTTCTGGTCCTGGGACACAGGTCCAAACATGAGCTCATGTCACTGCATTTCTCCTCTTGACTTTTCAACTGTCACCAACCGTTTGAAATCTATCAATATGTCTTTGGAGTCGTTGCTTCGCTGAGTCTCAATCAT